CACTCACAAGTTGGCGCCACTGTCTTCGCTACTAGCAAGTGACAGGACCTTACTCTACAGTGGCGCTAACTGGTGAGCGCTAAAACGATAGCCCTCATTGAGAACCTCCTTCTTTAGTTGAAGTCGGTTAAAGTGACGAGCTTTTTCAACCTCTAATTTTGACAAACGTCAAAAATCTGTCAAACTCCATACAAAAAACACCGGTTATCGTTACAGTTACGGTCAAAGTTAGGTGATACAACAACTCAGCCTAAAACTTGTTTATTGTATATGATAGGTACTTTTATATGCCAACAAATAACAGAAATATTTCAGCACACCTTTCTAGTCATAAACTAGAAGCCACATACTCGCATATAAAACTAAAAAATGCCAGCCACCAATATGGTACCGTGGGGTCAAAGCTTTGAATAAAACATTAGCAGCGCCACCTGCCGCCAACCGACTAACATTTGGTTCACAACATGTCACTGGTGAGTGGAAAAATGTGGAAATGCGTTACGCGCCATTGGGCGTTTGACAATGACATGTGACCATAGTAAAAGTTTCTTTTTTTTAATCGAAGTCGACAAATTGTGGCATGGGACGAGTTGATGAATGACTCGGTGATAGTTTGGATACGTGCTAAATGTTTTCTTCTTTTTGCAATTGACTTCGTGCTGTTTGCTTGCACATATAGCCAGTAAATAGTGATATTCAAGTACATAATTTATGATTGTAATTATTATTAGCTATGATATAATTGATGATACCCCCTTTATATTGAGTTTCAGTAAAATTTTTCTTCTATCTTCAAGGAAAGAAAAGTGTTTTAATCCGCTCATTATGAAACGTACCTACTTAACTCTACCTTGATAATCAGCCTTAACTAAGCTTCTAATTCAACTTCAGTTTGTGTTGCAATTTCACTTGGTTCATTCGAAGTATCGTTGTCAACGAGAGCTCTATTTTAATAGCTGTAACTGTAACGACTCTTGAGAAAAGAATATTAATTATCTACAAAAACACTCTTCACTTTTAACAATTGAGCTGAGCCCTAAAGGTCCAGATCACTTTCAAAATCTAAAGTAAAATACCCGTTCAGTTTTGGCGCAAGCCGGTTGATACTCTTTCAACATTTAAAAAGACCCTTATCTCTGGTTTTCATCAAACGATAGTAAAAACTCTTAACGCGTGCGCTTAGAGGTCAAATTGTCGATACAACAAGCAAGAAAAGAACTGATCTTACACTGGCCGCTAAGAAAAATTCAAATTTAAAAATCGAAATCCGCTAAAACGTGTTTCGTTCCATTGAAAACGGCGACGCAGACGAGAGCTCATCGTACAGTTGCAAATCTGTGTACTGTATGAAACTAAACCTTATTTCTTACAGCGTTCGGAAATCGGACCTATTCAGAAATAATCGAACGTTTTAAGAGAAACTTTTTGTTCTGCTACCCCTGTTTCGCGAGACGTGCATTTGATATTAAAAAATGCTCCAGAAGAAATCTTATATTCAATAGTAATTTGTTGAATAGCTAGGGAGAGGATAATGGACCAAGTCGTACGCCCTGTTTTTGCGGTGTTGTATTAGTTCGCGAAATTCTCCAGGGTCGTTTTGTGTACACACTGGTTTTGGAACGCAGCATGTGACTGTCAGAGCATGGTCGGTATGAATGCGCGCCAAAATCATAATTACACAGTCAATTTGGTAGGCAAAGGAATATGTGAGTTATTGCCTTCAGCGTAACCGAGATGAAATCGGCCGTTTCGAGCTATCAACAAAGGTTTTTGTAAAGAATTTTCGGAGTTTGCATAATAATACGGTCGCGATTTAGTTGGAAAGCGACTAGATGAGATGATTGGCGTGATAATTAGATTAGAATGACGTTTGTTGTCAAATTAGAAACGATTTTAGAATTGTAAATCAGTCTGGTGGGGGTCGGATTGCTTTCATTTCTTAAATGCTAATGAAGCGTGCTTAATTGTTTAGTTAACAATTTAAGTGAAAACTCAACTACGCGCATTCTAAATTAATTTCCATAACCTCCGCAAATAATGTAACGGTTTTTTTTTATTTTAAACGGAGAAATCGCGTTCCATTTTTCCTTTTTTTAAGCAAATCGCGAGTAAACATAAATCCATAAGGCAAACAAATGACGATCGTAACTTCAAGCGCCTACAAAAGTGTATGAATTCAGTAAAGCCATAAACCCACTAGCCCACATTCAGCACTAAACATAACGGCTTTCGGCTCATGTACAAAACAAGTGCGATGTTCCACTCGCACGTACATAATAAAATTTTAAGATTTACTCTTACAACGAAGTTTGGAAGTGTGTTTATTACTGAACCAGTTAGACACAATAGAACGTAGTAAGATAACAATAGAAGTTTCTAGGTGGTGTAGTAACTTTAAACACCTCTAAAACCCGCATCTAAGTACTAAAAACTGTAGAAGTGATTGCAAATTCAGCAAAAAAGAACTAAATTCAGTTCAAAATTTTGATGTCCAGACTAAGAATCGAAAAGTTCTTGAATAATTCGGACGATGGTCGTTTGAGGCCGGAATCTTAATAAGCTCTACTAACTCGCAAACTGGTCCATGAAATGCGTCGCCATCAAGACGTTTAATATAAAAAGTATTTTACAACATAAATGCCTGGTTAGGTCTTTAATACATGACGCGTCGTTTGAAAACTTTTTTTGTTGTTGGTATATCAAAGTAAAACACTGGCCAGTTGAAGAAATTTTAATCTGTGTAAAATGATGCTTAAAACAGAAACTTTTTTCTTTTGCTCGTTTAAAGTGAACATTGCTGGCCAGTTATAAAATCAATTTTTAGAATCGCTTTGACGTTTTCGATTATGAAAAAACAAAAGAAATAATGCAAAACAAAATCAATTTATCTACGTGACATGGTACTCGTAATTATAAGGTGAAAAATGTTTTTTGTTAGTAAAATATGTATTTTTATACAAATAACTAGCGACCTGCACGCACGGGTCCAATGCTGATATGATGTATTAAACATACAATCTTCCTCTTGAATCACTCAATCTCATATAATTAATTTAAAAAATTTAACTAATACATTGGAACAGACAGCGGTAAGCGACTGTTTTATACTATGTAATTATTTTTATGTATCTTTTCTTAATAATTTCAGAACCGTGCAAATACAATAGAGTATCAAACACCGGCTCTTACCTTTCATCAAGTTAAGACGAGACAGAGATAATGAACTTAGTTCAACAGTTGCACAATGGACCACTTTGCGCTCCGCTGCTGCCTTTCGTGAATCGCATCGCAAATGTAACGGACACCTAACACCCATGTCCTAAGACGCTGTCCGAATCTCTTGACCGTTATTCGCAATATTTGTAATTAATTTAGATAGGTACCTACTATTGAAAACCCTTGAATAAGAGGCTGACAAAAGTGATTAGGTGACTGATGCCCGTTTTCACCATCAATCCCTAATTTTTAAGTCACCCCTATGAAAAAAAAAATCCTGTTATGTGTTACCATAGGGGTCACTTAAAAATTAAGAATTGATGGTGAAAACGGGCATGAGTTTCTTGTGCTCTGCTTCTCCTCAGTAGCTTATGTATTGACCAGATGAGTGGTAGAGTTAAATCAATATGTACAGGAACATATTGTAAAAGCATTTTTTGAACCAATAACAACTGAATTTTATAATTTTAAGACTATTTCAATTTCAAACCGTGAGACGACGTACTGATCCAGTATTTTAAGCTATCTAACTCTATCACTAATTGTGTGATGTTGCCATGTTTAAAAAAACAGTTAACAAAACTGAATATCATCAACTTGTTAGTAAAGCCTCGAGACACTCGAATTCGGACAGTTCTCGTTGCGAATCCAATTGAAATTGAAATTGGACGGTTTTGAATGGGCAGACTGCATGCGGACGAATGGGAGTGGATGGTGCTCTAATAAATTGGTTATTTGCATGAAAAATGTACTAGGGTTTTAGTTTTTTAGATATTGAACTTTTTTTCGTTTGCTTCTAAAATTATTTGCTTAGTAAAATCTGATACAAAGTTACCTACTTTTTTAACCGACTTCATTGATTGTGTGTTGTAAGAACTCCTATAACTTTGAAATTACCTACTATTTTTATTTATAAAAAAAAAATAACGCAGCTTTTTCCAATTAACATTAAGTGTTCAATTTATTTTCTACACTAGAAAAGGCTTTTCACAACTTTTAAAAAACGGGTAGCATAAAGTTTTGCGTCCATGCCTTGTAAGACTGCTACTAAAAGTTTCAAATGTAGAACAACAAATACATAAATAATATGTTGTTATTTAATTTTTAGCATTAAGAGTCGCATCTCTAACTAATTTGAAAATTATAAATAACTTGAAAAAATTGGAAGAGCAGAGTCGTCCGGCAAGCGGAAGGTCGTAGGTTCAATTCCCGCCTTAGGCAGTTCTATTTTTTCAAGTTATTTATAATTTTCATAAATACATGTGTAGTTCAAAACCAAACCATAGATTGCCATCACATATCAAATTCAAGTTTAACAGACTCTCATTGATGCATGGGCCTTCCTGACAAATGGGCTAACTGTGGCACGATCGTGCGTCACAGATTTGCAATGTTATGCAATTTCGCCGTGATCGCTGGATTCCGTCCACGTGACGGATTGTGATGGATAGCGGAGATGTCCGTTACATCAGTATGCAGATTTTTTGTGGATCCGTCAGTGGCTAGCGGTTAACTTGATGTATTGGGTAGATAATAGGTAATCTCGGTAACAACGATAGAATGCTGAGCAAAACAGGCTCTACAATTCGACTTTCTGTTATCAATGAAGTATGAAATTACAGCGTGGGGGAGTGTAGACCAACTTCTTCATTTGTCTCTGGGAAATAGGTCGTGGTCCTACAGTGGAAACTAAATACTGTAACAACAGTTTTTTCGCACCATTTATCTTTCGCTTTCATAACTGTATGTCACGTTACTAAAGTGAGTTTTGTTTTTTGTTTCAGATCCAAAATGTTGAAGTGGACTGTATACGGTAAGAAGAACCAAGACGTCCGATCAGTCCACGAGCTGGACATCGAAGATCGAGAGCCATACAACGAACCATACAACAACAATGTCAGAAGATCACTCGACGCACAATCTGTTAAGAAAAGCAAAAAGCCCAGCAGATACCAAAGGCGATCTCTAGGATCTGCAGCCAGGAAGAATAACATCAAAACTGTAGATAAAGAGAATTTCAATTACATAGGGAATACTCCTAACTATTTCAAGGAAGGTTTCGTAAAAAAAACTGAAGGTTTAGCGCTGAAAGATGTTAGCAACATCACTCCTTCTTCAGCAACACCCGTGAAGAATTATGAAAGGAGAAAATACTATCTCAATGGTTCCAAAGAGGATATACCACCAGACCTACCGCCCACTCCTCCAACGTACAGCAGACGAGTGCGGGAAGCTAAGAAAAGGAAACTAGAGATGACTAGTGCCAACGAATGCTTTAGGAGAGACAGCTGCGCGTATAGGTCAGAACGGCGAATTAAACATGTCGACAGAAGTTTACTTACATCGCCAAAATTAAGTCATAGCACCTCAGAACCTTCATTAAATGAACTTTCTGATAGGCTAAGCGCATCAACTGATAGTAGCAAAACTTCCTACCTAGCTGGTAAGAGATTGGGCAAACCTATAAGTACCACAAAAACAACAAGCGAAGGACTTGTTGAAATAGAGTACGATAAAGATTTAGTCATAAACTGTATAGAAAAACCAATTTCCTTAACCAAAGTGACAGAGAAAACTACCTTACCTATTTTTGGACATCACATATTTATGGACAACCCCTTATACTTCAATAAAAATGACGGTCTCAATATAAGGCCGTTGAAAAGGACAAGGAAGAAATCAAACGAATTTGAGAGTTCGTTTAGATCACCTTCTGTAGATAAGAAAGATGCTCATACCTTAGTAAGAGATGGCTGCTCACCTGTCTCTATCACACCTTTGTCCGTAAAGTTAGCTGCACTAAGGTTTAGCACAATGAGCACGCATAGCAAATCTCAAAGAAAGCCTTTTACAGATGACGTGACAGAATTCTTTCCCAAAGTAGAAAACCCTTTTACTATTCCTCTTAGAGACGAAGAAACATCAACTGAGATGGAAAACAAATTTATTTTGGGCAAAGATTCTTTGACAAATGATACAGAATCGACAGTGTCAACGACTCAGATGGGAGATGTGACCCTCGAACGAATGATTGAAGATATAATCAAGAGTACTAAAATAGTCAAAACCAAACGAAGAATATTGAATAAGGAGTTCGATAACAAACCTACAGTTGAAGAAGAAATTCCTCCATTGGAAGCTGTAAAAGACTTATTTGTTAATCCACAGGCTGAAAATAAGGCTAATTTAATAAAAGAAGCAAGGTACGTTAATTTATCGAGAGAAAATTCAGTGTCACCGAAGTGTACTCCAACGAAGAGGATAAAACCTGTTCATAGGGTAAATGACAAATTATTGAAAAATCTACCTATTGGATGTTTTATCTTAGACGATGGCGATGGTTATAACGAAAGGGAAGTTAGAACTCCTGATATTTTTATAGAACCCAAGTCAAGAGCAAGAACTGGAAACAGGAAATTAGTAAATAGGTCGCAATCAATGAACATCTCACAACACGAGAAGAGTAATCTCGGTCATGTTTCCTCAGAATCAACTCCAGATTTATTTGCAGCAACAGAAAATAACAACAATGTAGCATTACGAAGACAAAGATGTATACGTAGGAAAAAATCTACTGTAAGCAACGAAAGTCATAGGAGACCAAGAGAAAACGAAACCAAATCGACTTCTTTCCTTACACTTGAAATGGGTATCCCAAGCCCTGCTTTAGAACTTCAAAATGTATCGTTATGTGAGCCTTTAAGTTCGTCATTTAACTATCTTGCTCCATGTGACCAGGAGTATGAACAGAATCAGTATCACAACAATACGTCTATAGTCTCAAACGTCTCTCATAGTAGCTTAATGCCTAACGAACCATTACCTCAAAACAAAAGGTCAAGAGAACTGTTTGGTCTCACATTAGAAAACGGTATTCCAAGTCCAATCACTCCGATTGCTGGCTCAAAGAGAACAAGCAATGTTTTGAGTGAAGAGAGAGCTCACAAAAGCAGTAAACTTGATGAGGAACTTCTTTCTACTGACATCGTTACTCCTGTCATCGAGCATAAGTCTTCTAGAAGATGCTTGACGTACTCTCCCGAAGAATGCAGCATTAACAGCAGTGAGGAGAAACGGAGAAGTGTAGCAAGCAATCGTTTGGAAAGAAGTACAGATAGATACCAAGCACCCAAAGGCACAATTGATTTGGAGATTGTGACGAGAAATGACGTCATTGACGTGCACGGTGAGTGGTGACTATCGAATCCTCCTTATTACTGTTTATCGTTATTATTATAATTTGCAAATAGATGCTGACTTTTCTTTTTCTTTTCAGTGATTCGCTGCCGCGATCTTCAACGGTCTACAGGAAGAACGGATGACATTAATGCCTATGCAAAGGTCTGTAGCTTGTTACTATTTCTGACCATCATATCAACTTCGATGTAACAAAATCTAAAAGTATACTGATTGTGACTTTCCAGGTCGTGATCAGTGGAGTACCAGAGAACCAGCCTCTGCCTACACAAAGGTCAATATTCCAGAGGACATCAGTTCTATACGGCAAGAAAGAACCGGAGTTCCAGAGGCACCTGAAACTGCCCCTCCCACCTGTAATTTACGAGCACCAAATGCTCTACATCTCTGTCTGGCATAGAGATAAAAAGTACAGGTCAGTCCATTCATAATTTGACTAAAGCTTCTTTTCAGGCGTCTCTTTGAATTTAAACCGTTTTATTATAGCTGGCGTGCAAGCTAAGAAATAGACCGTGGTAAAAATTCTGTTTTAGAAGATACTCACAAGGTCTACCGTATCGTGTATTCAGTCTTGAATAAAGAACCGCCTTATTAAAAATAGAAAAGGGCAACGTGGACGAAATTGGAACAATCCAAGAAACCCTGGTGAAAACGTAATGGCAGCATGTCGGCGACAAGAAATTAAAAGGCAAGCGAACAACAATATAATATTCAATGAATACTCTATGGCTTCGGATAACGGCCGTGCGTTTATCACAGTAATAATAAATTCACTATATCAAAGTCGGCGTGTCCAATCGCAAATGCCCGTACGCGATTAGTGAACGTTGAATGATGAAGTTGGTCAAGAGAGTAGAATAAACGTCATTAACCGAGTAACGAGGTTCTAATACGCAATAAAGGAGATTACGAGGCTGCCAGAGGAGCCCAGGGAGCAGTGGCCACATATCATCGTTACGGGAACACTGACGCGTAGAGCGTTTTTCACTTTTCCTCTGGCATATTCCGCTCTCATACATAAGATATTGGGAGTGGAAGTGACGCGGGGCGCGAAGGAACATGCGCAAAGCCATCGATCCCCGCCGGGCGCAGTCCCGGGCAGTCGCGACTCGTCGGCAGAGGTGGCACGTACCAAAATCTCCATATTCAACTCATACAAAAGTACGCATTGAATTTTTTTAAGCCAAACAGTGGTGTGTGGTGTGAGTGCGTTTTAGTGTTTAACCCTCTATTGTGATAGAAGCTGCATTTTTATTAGGAGCGTCCAATCGGTAAGGGCAGTTGCCATCCAGTTGGATGAGGCCATGCACTCAGTTATTAATTTTAAAATACCATTTAATTTTTTCTCATCAATTAGCTTGAGTATTGACTTTTATTGAACACGAATGCTTACTGCACCTATCATAGTTCCAAAATTATTGCACTATAAAAAACCGGCACATTATTAATGTAATTGATAGTGTCATTTTTTATGCTGGCTACGAATCAATTGAGTTCAGTGTTAACGGTAATAAATTACATATTAATGGTTAGATTGGCTGCAAATCGCCGGGGCAAGGTAATCATGCCAATAACACTGGCATCGAGTACGTAGTTGGGCAAACACTTCAATTGCTGTCGTCTAACATATCTATGTACTTGTTGACCTACTTTGCAATAACAAGTCGTATCTATAACAGGGAGCCGTGACGTATAAACACAATAGCTTCCTTTCAACTGCAAAAGATCCTACTAATTCCATGATTTTAGAATTCCTAAATATCCTCTATTTTCCTAGCCTTCTCACCAAAGTTTCAGGTCTCGTATAGCTAGTTATACACATTTGCTGCTTCATCACCCAGTTTTCCTGATCCTCTTACATAATTCAAATGAATACCGAATCGTGTGTGAGTCGCTTATGAATGCTGCACATTATCACCTAGTCCTTGGGACTTAGGAGACATATTGGAACCCCAGTTTTCCAGTCAGAGATCAAGACATTTGAATTTTAAAGTACGAGCTCTGTTTACCATATCACGAGATTTGCCTCTCGTTGTTCAACAGCTGCTGGAGAATATCCAAGTTAATACTTTTGCAAATATAGAAAACATTTGAAAACTATAGCCTCATTAACATATACTAAGTACGAGGCTAATTTGTGCCTGAAATTATAGGCTGGGCTCTTGTGAATACCTAATTTCACTTTGGTTAATGATAGCTAACTACCCATACATTTCTTTGTTTCTCTTTTTCTTTAAGTGGCACTTTCCATTTCTGTGACCTTTGGAAATGAGAAAACACCACTTATCTATCACTCGATCTAATTGAGATCTTTTATAAAACTTCTTTAGGTATTCTAGGACTATTATCACCTTAGTTATAATAGAATCTCTCAAATTACAGGACTTTTTCAGGGGCCTACTTAAGTCTAGTAAGATGATAATGGTCTACAATTTTAATAACAATCACTGTTCTACCATTACAAACAAACTGATAGAGACTGAGTTCAACTAAAATACTGTATATCGTACGCCTAAATTGCTAGAGGTAGATTTTTACCTACTCCAATTTCTTTGTAGCTTTCGATTTCCCACGGGGCACTGCCATCCGCTGGGCACTTTACGTGAATATACATATTAAGCTCATCCATGTGGTAGAGAAAATAAAGCTTTTAGGCCCAAATTCAACAAACAATAACTAGTTCTGTAAGTAAAACTACCTAATTTAAATGTATCTACCACGATGTGTAATAATATACATAGATGCCATTTCAAATAGGTATACAGGGTGTTAGGTAAATGGGTATATGAGCCGACACTAGCCCATGTTAACATAGGCATATAAATGGTATGGTGAAGTCAGAAATTTGATATTAAGATTTTAATTTTTTTAATTTTCATACAAAATAAATTTCATAAAATCCGATTTGTATGAAAATTAAAATAATTAAAATGAAGATATCAATTTTCTGACTTCACCATACCATTTATATGACCATGTTAACATGGGCTAGTGTTGGCTCATATACCCATTTACCTAACACCCTGTATAAAACAATCATTAATGCGTAATAAAGGGTTTCAATGCATTAAATATCCTACATGTATACTATCTCATAATAAAAAGTGCATTTGCATTTTAAAACATGCTAGCTGCTTCCATCACTCAATATTATTACGAGTATTATAATGATAGTTTTTTAAAACAATCATTAATTATGAAGATTAAACTCATTAAAGTTTATATTGCAACCAAATAAAATGAGAACCATTGCAGCAATTGTACTAAAAACAAACCCAATGAATAAATTTTTGGAATAGTCTGTCGCATTGTGTTTTATCAAATAAGTTTCTGGCATCAGTCCAACTTATCTTAGTAAATACTACGGACAATGACTGGCATTTCAAAGAATACAATAGAACCCGTTATTTAGATAGCATGTGTATTTTGTCCATCAAATCATCATTAGCTTTACCAACGGGCTCATGCAAGGCTCTACTTTCAGACCCGGTTTATGTCTATTTCTATATCTACAATCCTACAAATATTACTAATATTAAAAATAAATAATAAATAGTAAATAAATAAAACGTTTATTGCCAGTAAAACCAAATACATAAAGTCCTTATATCTAGCGGATACCGCACTAAGCGAAGCTTGTGTCGCGGTAACCTTTAAAACTTGTTAAATAAAAGAATCTTTACAAGTGGTCTGGGAACATTCAGATCAGACTATTACTAACAGTTTCAGAGTGTTATTAATCAGGCAAATGAAATAACTTACAATATTTTAATGTTACTACTTAGTCTCTATAAGTATAACAGTCATCTTAAAAAACTATTGTAGGAAACTATGTTTAAAAATTAAACAAAATATATAAAAGAAAACAGAGTGTAGGTATAATATGTAAGTGATGTATGTGTGATGTGTGAAGCTTAAGAGTTTGTTTGTTTGTACGCGCTAGTCTCAGAAACTACTGGTTCGAATTGAAATATGATATTTTTGTGTTGGATAACCCATTTATCTACAAAGGCTTTAGGATCACTACAGCCAATAGGGGCGGAACATTATAGTAAAATGTTGCGAAAACGGGAAATATTATTCAAACTATTTTCAGACGTACGAAGTCGCAGGCACAGCTATTAATTCAATAAATAGGCACATCGAATTACTTCGATCAATGAAAGTATGTCCATTATGGTGTAGTCAATTTTGAATAGCCCCATAATGCAACGCACCAATTTCAATTCCATTGATGGAATGAAGTGCTGAAAATTGGCTTTTGGAATTTAATTTGTCTGGTGTTGGAAAGTGGCACGCTTTTGTTGGTATTTCTTTTTTAATCCAGCTTTAGGTAGAAATATTTTTCATTGCGCTAATTTGGACCTAAGCTTAGTAATGATAGCCAGTCTTTTTCATTCTTGGGCATAAACTAAAAGAAGGTAACAATCCCACACTAATCCCATGGGGTTAAGTAGGTCTTCATATTTCGCACATACTCGTAGTCCCAATGGACTAGATCCTAGATCAATATCTAGGGTTGCTTTTAAATTATGAAAGACTCTTTGTATAAACTAGCTTTTGCCCACGGCTTCACCCGCATGCAATTTAATTTGTCGCAGGTCATTATAAATTAAAGCATAAATGTTATTCTGATGGATCGTCAATAATACTGTAATATTTAAATAATTAGGTACATGGCTATTTACAGTTATTTACAATTAAATTGTTGTTTGAGTAAGTTTCATCCGTTCAGTTTTGCGAGAAAGAGTTACAAACATGTTAACATCTTTACATCCACACAAACTTTCGAATATTAGTAGGATATAGGGTTAATCGCAATATTCAGTCTAATATGTTATTATATTGAGCTAATATTGCTTCATCATCATGATTCATATCATATCGACCATATAAACAATACAGAGGTCGTTCAAAACCACTTTTACTGGTACTAGTTACCAAAAATAGGCTTCGTTGGTCTTACCTAATGATGATAATGTTGGACAGATAGGTATTTGTAATATAGAGTTCCCGTGAGAAAACTACCACGTGGCGTAGTCCTTGAATAAATACTTTGCTAGTTATAATGGAAAAACAATGTTATTAGTATTGTTTAAAGTTACAAATAGAAAAATGTAAACCGAACAGACACAAGCAATAATAATGTCGTCAATATTACTCTTCGGTAATGATATTCTAATACTCGTATTCACAAACAATACGAAGTCTCACAGTGCGCGTGGACGCACAGGGTCCCAAGAACCTATTCATAGACAATACTTGAGTGAGTGGGAATCAATTACAAAGCTCTAATCAACGCTGTGCGTTCGAATTAGGTATTTATTAGGTAGGGCCCAAAAGATAAGGAGACATGTAAAGTGCCCCATAAGGGCTACCTTTTTCCTTTTTTATTATTTTCTATTGACGTTCATA